CACCCTCCCTGCCATCTCATTTCCCAACCACCTCCCTGTGAGTGCAGTTTCACCCTGTATGTAAGCTTCCGGAACAGCCCCGCATGTGATCCAAAGAGACCATAATAATCGTGAAGGAGAGGCGGACAGAGAGGGGAAAGAGTTAAGAAGCAGAGGCCACCACAACTGAGATGTCTGCCACAACTGACAGTACCGTTCTCCTGCAAAGAAAAAGGAGTGGGAGAGAGGCCAAGTCTGTTCTCAAGCACCTGCAAGGTTCCAGCCTTCAGGAGGCTTCGCATGCCCTTGCTATGATTCCAAGCTCCTCTCCAAGCTGAAACCCACCATGTCTCACCATGAGTATCCTTCTCTGACCTGCACAGGGCTAGGCAGGGGAGGGCCAGCTAGTCTGGCACCCTCTTCTTTCACACTATGGTACACCTCCCACTCACCACAACAGGTCCAGAGCAACAGCACCCTCAGCCTTGCTGGGCCTCCCCTTGGGTCCCAGTGGCCCTAACCTCTAGGAAATGTAAACAGACAGTTCTTGCCACAATGCCCATTTGCTACCAGTTTCATCAGATTTTCCCAGAGGAAAGTAGCAGGTGCTGCACCCAGGGACCAAGCAGGAAGAGCAGCTAACAGCAGCTCATGCACAAGGCTCAGCACTGAGGTCATCTGAAGAACTGTCCTCAGCTCTCAGTTACTGAACCCTACAGCCACAAAAGCTCAGAGGGGAAAGCCACACCCTCGGTGCTATTTGAGAGGGGTGTCACTCCTGTGTACACCTGCCCCCTCACTCCCAGGAGTCTTCTGCTTGAGGGAGGGCATATTCCTAAGCTGTCACTAGTCATCATCCCCTCTAGCCCTGCTCTGTTCATTTCTGGGGTGACCCAGGGGTGGTGAATAGGGGTGAGCAAAAGTAATATTAGAGCTCAGGTGCTGCTGGATCCAAAGAGAGATATTAGGTGCAGTGGTCCTTTGGATTCAAGCCGAACAAATCTTTCAACCCACGAGGACTAAAAAGCAACTAAATGGAACTTGAATATCTAACCGAACTACTAAACACTGTCTATCACCCACACTGTTTCCTCTGGGCACCTGAGACTCTGGAAAAAGACAGAGCCACTCTGGGCAGAAAGGTTTCCCAGGGCAGAAGGTGACAGAGAGACTTGTATGCTGGGTACAGCATCTCTGGTCTCCTGACCAGAAAGTCACAAAACCAGTGGATTCTGATATAATAATTTATCATCTGCTATCATCAGTAAAAAGGCGAGAAGATGCTGCTTATTCTTCCTGCAGGGCTTGGCTCAAATGTTCTCAACTTCGCACTCTGTACTGAGGCTAGGTAGCATCTGCTGTGCACACTATCCAACCAATGACCCTGGGCTGAGATGGGAGGGGTTGTTTTTGGTTTTGTTCTTTTGCATTGGGGACTGAACCCAAGGCTTGATATGTCAGGCAAGTGTTTCACTGAGCTATATTTCCAGACTAACATGGTGGGTTTTGAAGGGAAAGACTATGTCTCTGCACCGAATCTGGCCACCTTTAGGTAAAACCTTCTTTGTGCTTTCTCTTCAGCTTCTGTTGAAGAAGCCACTCTACTTAAAAGTCCTCTGTTCTGGGATGGGTTGTGGCTCAGTGGTAGAGCACTTGCCTCATACGTGTGAAGCACTGGATCAAATTCTCAGCATGGCATTTAGATAAATGAATAAAATTAAAAACTAAAAAATATACATATTAAAAAAAAACAAAAAACTCTGTTTTCTGCCTAGGCAGAGCCCTCCTGCCCTGTTTCTGCCAACTACAGCTGGGACCCTTTTCTCGGGCCTTTTGTTCAAGGGGCAAACTCCTTACAATGAAAGGTACCAGCACCAGTACCCCTCAAAGTTCACTTCCCCGGGTGAAGTGGAGACAGGATGCATTTGGATCAGCCACAAGGATCTGCAAGCTATGGCACTTACTACTTCCTAGCTCTAGGAAGCAAATCTCATCTTTTAGAGAACTAGGGGAAAACACTCATCTCCAAGGATATGGAAGACTAAATGAAGTACCTGCCACGTGTGACGGTGCCTGATGACCCACAGAGCTGGTGGTCAATAAAGGCTGATCTTCCTTCCCATGAGCTCAAGCCTGAGCCTCACCCTCTCTCTCAGGATGGGGGTTCAGCCAGCTGCTAAGTAGAAGGTGGGCATCTGTCCAACTCAGGTGCAGTTGCATTGTACTGGTAGTTAAACAGTGTCATTACTGCATCTGCCTACTCCCCAACCTTTCATCCCATTCTTTTTTTTTTTTTTTTTCAGGGGTAAGCAGGGGTACCAGGGGTGCTTTATCATTGAGCTATATCCCCAGCCCCTTTTCACTTTTTACTTTGAGGCAGGGTCTCACTAAGTTGCTGAGGATCTCACTAAATTCTGAGACTAGTTTGAAACTTGTGATCCTCCTGCCTCAGCCTCCCCAGTTGCTGGGATTACAGACATGTGCCATGGTGCACCCAGGCCCCTATCCCATTCTAATTCAACCCAAGTGGGGGAAGTGTCCCCCATACTTGAGACCTTGGCAATCTCATGGAGTTTGCATAGCAGAGGCCCTCATGCTGTATATCCAAGGACAGTCTATTTTGAGATATTCATATGATATCAAATTACTCATTCAAAGACAAGACCCAATAGCACCCAACAGCTGCAACACACATGCTACATCATTGCCAGGAAGCTACCTGGTCCCAGTCACTACACTAGGTATCCAGAAGACAAATGGCAAAGAAGAAACATCCTTCCCTTTTCCTGTAGTTAGGGCTGTCTTTGGAAAAAAGAATAACAACTACCTCTTCAACTTAACCTCCTTCAACAGAAGGCAATATGAGTGACAACAACCATGAGTATTGCTACAAACTGCTTCAGAAATTAGAATAAAAGAGGAAACACTTGGACTGGGGATTTAGCCAAGTAATACAGCATTTGCCTAACATATGCAAAGCTCAGGGTTCAATCCCCAACACCGCAAAAAAAGAGAAAAGGAAATGCTTTAGCTGAGTAATGTGGCAGAAGGTCAGAGAAGTTTTTCAAGAAAGATGAGTCATAGTATTTCCTGGTGTGGGAACTTGTCAGAAGCAAATTTTGGGGCCCATCCCAGACCTAATGAAATCAGAAACTCTGGAGTAAGGCTGAGCAATCTGTGTTTAATGTGTCCTCCAAGTGACTCTGATGCTAGCTCAGGTTTGGAAACCACCTTAGCCATAGGCCAGCCCTAGAAAATATGACTTTGAAAGTTTGAGAGAGGTGTCAATTAACTCAGGAAAAAAAAATAAAAATGGGGTTGCCAGAGTACTCCTAATTCATCACTTACAGTATGTCACAACAAGTATTTTATTCTGTACAACACAATTTAGCAAAGTTTAAACTCCAATACAAATACACTGAGCCAGTGAGGAGAGGCAGGGAGATGAGTACCATGGGTGCCTGGATTTGAACCCAAGTTTCCCAACTCACTAAGTTTCTGAGACTGGCCTTCAATTATCAGCTGTGTGGACAAGACAAATCTCTACACTACCAACCCCCTCTGTTAAATGGAAGTATAAGTGAACCATTTCATAAGTTTACCCTGAGGCCAGGTAAGATCTTTATTATATACTTGAAGCACTGACCTGTCACCCAGTAGTGCATGCTCCACGAATGATGCTTCCCGTTTTCCTGCTAATGAGAGGAGAACTGGGATCATTTACAACAAGACTGAACTGGAGGCTTTGTCCCGAGTCTCCTTCCAGCACAGCACTGACAACACCTACAAGCTAGATACACAATGATCTGGAAACCAGGGTTCTTTCCAGAAGAAACAACAATAAGGTGGGCTCTTTACAAGGCCGTCAATATTCTAGAAGAAAGGGTCATTAGGGATCTTCTTACATCAAGCCCCTTCTTTTACAACCCTACTAGCCAGTCTTCAGGCTTCTAGGAGGCCCTGAGAAAGACAGGCTGGTACCAATGGCACCTACAGCTCTCATTACAGTCCTTGGCAACACAGCAGGCCCCACACATCAGCAAGAGGTCAGAAGGAAGCCAGTCATGGTGGTGCATGCCTGTAATCCCAGCAACTCCAGAGGCTGAAGCAGAAGGATTGCAAGTTCAAAGACAACCTCAGCAACTTAGCAAGGCCCTGCCTCTAAATAAAATATAAAAAGGTCTGGGGATATGGCTCAGTGGTTAAGCACCCGTGGGTTCAATCCCCAATACCAAAGAAAGAAGAAAAAGAAAATGACTAAAGAGCAGAGAAGGAAGTCTCTGGAGTTAGCCAGCAAGAGGGTATCCAAGGAACTGCTCAAATGGATTTGGCCTTATACTTGAAGGCTCCTGTTTTTAACCAGGTACTAAAAGGAAACTGCAACTGTTAAGAAGGAAAATTAGAGGATCATGCTTTTAAATTATTTCAGAGTTTCTTATAAATATCTAAACTTTTTTTTCTTTTTTGGGGGGGATGGTCCTGGGGATTGAACCCAGAGGCACTCTACCACTGAGCTACATTCTGGCCCTCTTTATTTTGAGACAGGGTTTTGCTAAGTTTCTGAGACTGGCCTTCAATTTGTGATCCTTCTGCCTTGTCTCCTGAGTAGCTGGGATTATAATCATGTGCCACTGTGCCCAGCTGAACATTATTTTGAGATAGAGTGACATGAACAAATCTGGCAAATCACCAAGTCAGGGCCAACCTGAACTTTTTTATTTTATTGGCTAGACACCCCAGGACTAGAGCTCTCCACTCAGCAGCTATAATAAGCTCAAGTACCCACTGCATAAAAAGGCGCTGGGGATGTAGCTCAGTGGTAAAGTTCTTGTTGGGCAAGCACAAGGCCCTGGATTCAATATTCAATCCCCAGTACTGCAAACAAAAAAAAAAAAACAAAAGAAGTGTTGTGCCCACTGCATAAAAATCCCAGAGTTCAAGGGCTGCATAGCAGTTAAGGTCCAGAAAACTACTGTCCCAAGACACTGGCCCACTAAATCCAGGGCAGCCCAGAAACATACCAGCAGGCTAAGATGCAGAGTCCTGTGAAAAGGATAATAGGGATGGGGTAGGATGCACAGAGCAGCCCATGGTTGTAGAAGGCCTGAGATATCTTCTCACGCAGCCTTTCAGTCAGGGTCATCCTCAGCTGAAGTCACCTTGCTGCCATCCCGGAAAGTGACCATGGATCAGCCTGGCAGACGCTGGAAACCACTGACAATGGAAACCATCTGCAGAAACCTGGGCAGAAGGGAGAAAAGCCAATTAACAAAGAGTACATGGCTCTGCACACCAGGGCTACCAAGGGTAGGTAGCAGTTATGTGGCTGGGGAATGGTCTCAAGATGCCCATATAAAAGGTCTGGAGACTCGGGTCCCAATACACACACACACACACACACACACACACAGTAATCTCTCGAACATCTCTGAGCATTAATTAGTATAACCCAAGAAGCCAAAGAACTTCCCCTCTAAATTCTGCTTATAAACTCTGTTCTTCTCTTTTTTATATATATTCATTTTTTAGTTATAGGTAGGCACAATATCTTTATTTTATTATTATGTGGTGCTGAGGATTGAACCCAGTGCCTCATGCATGCTAGGCAAGTACTCTACCTCTTAGCCCCAGCCCCAGCCCTGTTCTTCTCTTTTAGCTATTTCTAAAAGGCCACTCCCAAGAGGGCATTTTTTACATGTGGCACAGAAAAGCACACCTGGGTAACAGATATCACCTTCAGCTGCTCTCTGCCAAATGGGCATTTGGCACATCTTCCCCTGCTCCTCTGTGCACAGGCCAGCTTGAGAAAAATACTCGGAAAAAAACCTTTGCAACAGGATGCCACCTCCCCACAAAAAAACACATTCTTAACACAAATGACAATTACTGATAAAGAATGTTCAATAAAAACATCCGAAAGCTTGAGTAAGAGTTACTAGACTACATGCAATCTGTAATAGCATTAGGTGCAGCCTCTGCAGGATCCTAGTCCTGTAGCTGTTCCTGGATGCAGGGAGGACAGAGGCCTCTCCTGCTCCTACCTGCCCAGTAGCTGTGCCCTTTTATGAGAAATACAAACCTTCTGTGGCTCAGGGGAACCCACTCCCTCCACAGTATTTGGCCAACAGGCAAGGGGCCCCTCCCAGCTCAAGTTCTTAGCTGGGCCTCTCTCACTGGACTTTGACTTCTGAACATTGGTGATGCTTATTCATCCCCAAAGATGTTCCTGCACCCAAGATCCCCAGGCTGTTTTGGCTCTAGTCCTTTCTGAAGACTGGCTCATCAACTTTTCTTTCCAGTCTGTATGCCATCCCATATCCTCTTTTTTCATGTATTAGCCAAAGTTCATTTCTGTTGCTTGCAAACAAAGACCCTTAAACAACAACAACAAAAAATCAAATAGAAAACTCTAGTAGAAGGCCCAAGAACTTAGAATGCTCTTCCTGAGCTCTCCAATGGAATTCATGTTTAAATCCACTTCTCCATTCCATGTCACCATTTCTTTGGTCTGTGCTCTAGGGAACCTGTCCAGACATGTGTCTTGGCTTGATTAGGATCCCTGGTAAAAACCCAGGCTAAAAGGATGACTCCTCAAAAGTGTCAAGACCAGAAATGAGAAGGAGTCATACCACAACTAATGCACAAACTAAAAGGAATGGTTGTCACTCTTTCCACCTTCCTGGAAGCACCAGCCTTAAGTGTATGTGCAATTTCCAGGCCAGGAACTTTCTAAGGAAATACTAAGAACTCTGTGGGCCCATTCAGTAGGCAATGGATACAGAAGGCAGCAGGTAAGCACCTTTGCTGCTCAGACCAGCAACTCTTAACAGCTCCATCATTCACGCGGCTCACCCACACATGAAGGCCAAAGAAATCTCAAGCACCCACTATTGTGCTCCACACCCAGCACACAGAAAGCAACTCAGGAAGCAACTAGCTGCTTCTGCCCAGGAAACCCTCCCGTCTGCCCCTAAGGGGAAAACACAAAGGAGGTGTGCAGCTACAGAAAGACTCTGGGGTTTCCTAAAGACAGGCAGCCACAAGCCAGCTGCAGTTTCAAACTTTGGTCCTTGAGAAGCCCCACACCTCTTCCTTTAAATGTTTCCCAAGATTAGGCACTCCAGGAAATCTTACTGCCCCAAACCCCTTCCCAGGCCTTCTTGCACACACATCAGCAACAAAGAGAGGGGAGCCTACCTGTAGTTCAGCTGTTACACTTAGAACTATTAATATGAGGTAAAAGCTATCTAATTCACTTTCACCCTGTAGCCAATACAAATCTTTCTAACTTCCACTGATCTTTACTACTTACATTAATTATTAATAATTTCCACAACACCTGGAAAAAAAGAAATCTAAATTCTAGTTCATTACACAGCCCATCTACCTGAACCTAGCAAGAAGAGACTTTACTCACCTCTATTCCACAGCATAAATTTTAATGCAAAGCTACTCCAAAGCAAAATTTACCCAACCTGAGCCAAAAATATGTTCTTACATTGCCCCACATTTACAGGTTGCTTCAGATCAGAATCTATAACTCTGCTTCCTAAATCTAAAGACAGTCTTGCCCTGGAGGCCTGAATGGACAATATTACATAAACTCATAAGTAATACTGCCTTTGTGGAAGACCCCGCTGTAAGCAAAAACAAGCACTGAGGCAGGAGGATCACGAGTTGAAACCAGCCTCAGCAACTTAGTAAGCCTCTGTCTCAAAGTAAAAAATGAAAGGACTGGGGATGCGATTCAGTGGTAAAACTACCATGGGTTCAATGCCCAGCACCACAAGGAAAAAAAAATTTAAAGAGGATAAGATCATCAAAAAGTGACAGCCAGGCCCGGACTGGGGATACATAGCCCAGTGGTAGAGTGTGTGCTTAACATTTGCAAGGAATGCCCTGAGTTTGATATCTAGCAAACAAACAATTAATAAAAAAGAATTCCCTCTGTGCTCTTGGGACCAGTCCCTCTTGTATCCATTGCCTATTAAAGAATTCCTCTCTCCCCCAGCACCAATGTCACTGCTGCCTCTACTAATACAGAACTGCATAGCAACCAGGGCAAGAGAAAGTAGGAAAAGACAAAGCAAATAATAAAGATGAAATTTCTTCCTCTACTCCCACTCCTGATCTGTGGGATCCCCTTTCCTGTACCTCAGATTGGAAAGAGAAGGCTCCAGGTTTGGGCTGCCTTTGAGTCCACCCAGGATGGAACATATCATATGGGGTGGAGAGTGGGGGACGGGAAACTTACTACAGTTCAGTGATACTTCGAGTTCTAGTTTCCTTCCCCAATCCATCCGCTACCATTTATCTTTTGGGGGGGTTCATATACCTATCCATGCATTCTATCCATGAATTCTATCTGTACTCTTTCAGAAGAAATGGTAGAGTATGCTTACTCCACCTTGATCAGAATCAGAATCCTTTTTTTTTTTGTGTGTGTGTGTGTGTGTGTTATGTGTGTGATGCTGGAGATTGAACCCAAAACCTTGTGCCCGTGCAAGGTAATCACTCTACCAATTGAGCTATATCCCCAGCCCAGAATCCTTAACTTTTTTTACATAAAAATCTTCAAAATTTTTAGGATTCTTTGCCATTAAAGAAACTTTCCACAATGTGGCTGTCACTATCGCTCTCTTTTTTTTTTTTTTCAATCACATCATCATTTCATTGTGAGAAGCAGGTTGTACTTTACTGTCTACACAGGGCACATATTACTTTTGTCTTTTTAAAATTTTTTTGAGGTGCTAAGGATGGAACCCAGTGTCTTGAGCATGCTAAGCAAGTGTTACACCACTGAGATACATTCCCAGTCCATCTACTACTTTTAAATAAAGTAGAAAAAATAAAGACTACAGGCAAAAAGTACACATAAAGAGAACAGAAGAAAATGTTGGTAGTGGTTGCTGGTCTTCATGTGGTATGATTACATAAAGAAATTTTTTCATTAATTTTCTATACTTTTACATTTTTTACTATGAGTACTGATTTTTTAATTTCAGATAAACTTTTAAAATTTAAAATGTCACAGAAAGGCATACATCCTATAAACCTACAGCTCCATGAATTGCCACAAAGTAAATAGCCATGTATCCTAAATATCCTCCACATCAAAAAACACAGTATTACACCTGAAGCCCTCTTTATGAGCCCCAATACTGATACTCCAATTATGAAAGTAACCAATATACACCTTTATAATAGTATTGGAATACATTTCTGATTTAAGTTATTGTGTGGATCTTGTCTTGCCACCTTCCAAGCCTCACAAATCCCTTCTTATCCTTCAATCCACCTGTCTCAGAGGTCAGAGTGGACACAGATTCTTTTTTTATTTTCCTCTGTGTGTATGTGTTAGTGCTACTGGGGAATGAACCCAGGGGTGCTCTACCACTGAGCTACATCCCCCACTGTTTTTATTTTTTGAGAAAGGGTCTTGCTAAATTGCCCAGTCTGGCCTTGAATTTGGGATCTTCCCATCCCAGTCCCCTAAGTAGCTGTGATTAGTCATGCGCCACTGTACCCTGATTCCATCAATGTCCTGGGCCAGATACCCTCTGTACTTAGTACAAAGCCCAAATGCCTGCCCCTGCTCCAAGGGCTCTGTACAACCTGCTCTGGTCCTCCCCATCTTCACCTTGTGACACCTCCATGTCCCCTGCTATCTTCCAATGCCTCGTGTGTGCCAGCCTTATTTCCACCTCAAGGCCCTGGCACATATTGTTCCCTTCTCTATTCCCTCTTCTCTTTATTGGCTGGCTCCTTTTCACCCTTCAGGTCTCACATGAAATGTCACTCTACAAAAAGACCTCCCCTGACAATGTTACCAGTAGTTCCCTTTACCGTAGGCACAGAGCCTATTTCTTCTCTTTCAGAGCATTAAGAACTCTAATTCTATGAGTGGTTTGTTCCCTGGTTTATTATCTGTCCTCTGTCAAGACTATCAACAAATTCCCTGCTCATGATTGTACATCAGGGCGGAGAAAAAACTTGCTGAATAAGTAATGAGCAAACCAACCAACCAGAGTCAGATACAGATTATCAGGACAGCGCTCATCACACACCTTCCTCTCAGCTTCTGAGAGGTGTTCTCTGAGAAGGTCAGATAATAATCCCCTTTCTCTGAATAAAGTCTTTTATTTATTTATTTTGAATTTTTTAAACTTTTTTAGTTGAACATCTTTGTTTTACTTACTTATTTATTTATTTTATGTGGTGAGGAGGATTGAACCCAATGC